TCGTGGGAAACCCTCCATCCCAGGCAAACCCAGATGGCTGCCACCCAGAGCCAATGCACTTGGTTGGGGAGTGACTGCAAGTCAGGTGCAGTCAGCAGCCTGCCCTTCCGGCCATGCCCTGCACCCTGAAGCGCAGGCTCTTGGCTGAAGGGGCCTCACCAGGGACACGGTCTTCGGCTTCATCCCTGCTAATGGCTTTAATGAGTGCTGGGTTCTCTGGCAGGGCCACTTCCACCCAGCATGCTGGGAAAATTCCCTCCCTACTGGGCCCAGTTGTCAGGCGGATTTGTGTGGGGCAGGGGCCCAGCCCTCCCCAGCTCTCCCCAGGCAGGATCTCTGCAGAACATCTGGGTGACTCAGTGCCCCATCCAAATGCCCAGCAGCCTCCCAGGGAGACCCACTAGGACAAAGCTGAGTCTCAGCTTCCCTCTGTACCCCACCTGGACCTCCACCCCTACAGGGTGAGGCTGGAGTCCAGCCTGAGGAACCAAGGCCAAGTGCCACAGCCTGTCCCCTCTGACTTGTGGCCAGACACTGGGGGTGGTGCACAACCTGCCCTGACTGGGGAGCTACAGGTCACATCCCCAGGGTCTCTCTAGTCCTCCCAGCTCCTCTGCTGGGCTGGGGGGAGAGGGGGTGAAGCATCCTGATTAAGATCAGCATTCGATAACACAAATATTAATCAAAGATGTGTATTAAAGGTGGTAGCACTTGATTTCAGTTTATTGATTTGTGTGAACATGCTGTTTCTGCAGTCACTGCAGCATAATTGTTGTTAGGTTACAGTCGAAGGTAAAAGCCTGACAGGATAAACACTGGGGTGCACCGATCCTCTGCGCTTCTGTTTCAAAGTGGGCAATCAGGTCTTTGGGGGTCTTCAAGCATTGTTAAGAGTATAAAGAGGGGGCTGGGCTGGGGCTCGGCGGTCAAGTGCCCGCCTAGCACGTTCGAGGCCCTGGGTTCCATCCTCAGCACCACATATAAATAAATAAAATAAAGATATGTGTCCAACTACAATTAAAAAATAAATATGAAAAAATAGAGTATAATGAGGTCCTCGGACCAAAGGGCTTGAAAGTTGTTGTTCTAGAGAACTTTCCACCGCAGCTACAGAAGACGCAGCACTGTTTTTAATAAGAAGAAACCAGAAACAACCTGCATGGCCATTCTCAGGGACCATGAAGGTACCGTGTGTGACTGACAGTGGCTCGTCACACGGCAGTTAAAGTGGATGAATGAGATGTGTGTGATGCACACCAAGAGACACATGATGCAAAGAACACATCTAATGTTACTCCACGTGTGGAAAACAAAGATCAAAGTCCCCCGTGCATCGTTTGTGAACACCTGGGATATGAGTTAATCATAAAGCACGAGTAGCTAAAATGACACATTACAACAGCAGCAGGCGTGGCCGCTGGAACTCTGTAGCATGGTCGCTGTTCTGAACACCAGAACACCACCGCCCTCGGGAACCGCTGGGCAGTCTGAAAGCTGAAGGCACCCCTCCAGGTGACCGCCATCCCAGCCCTGGTGTTCAACAGAGCCTCCCGAGATTTGTGGCAGCTCCGTTCATCGTCACCCCAACTGGAACAGCCCAGGTCTCCTCCAGCAGGTGACTAGGAGCAAGGGGCATGCCAGCCCAGTGGAACCATATGCACCAGAAAAAGGACTAATGTTCCCAAACCTGCAAAGCAAAGGCAGGAGGGAAGGAGGACAGACTCCCATGACACACCTGATTCCACTCCACCTGCTTCAGAGACAGTCCTACAGTCACAGAGGAGGTCAGGGCTGCCAGGGCTTGGGAGCAGGAGAGTGTGACCACAGAGGACAGCAAGGACCTGGAGCAGTGGTGCTTGCCTATAACCCCAGGGACTGGGAGGCTGGGGCAGATCCCAAGTTCAAGGCCGGCCTGGGCAGCTTACCAAGACCCTCAAAATAAAAGCAGAAAGGGCTGTGGATATGGTTCCGTGGTAGAGCGCCCCTGGGCTCAATCCCCAGTGCTAAATAAATAAATTATATATACACATATATAAAATGTAATATATATATATAATATATCCTAATCAAGAATTTTTAAGGCAGCAGAATACAACAGACACTAGTATGGCAATATGTAAATCAGTGGATGTGTAACCGATGTGATTCTGCAATCTGTATACTGGGTAAAAATGGGAGTTCATAACCCAATTGAATCAAAATGTGAAATATGATATATCAAGAACTATGTAATGTTTTGAACAACCAACAATAAAAATTTTAAAAAAGAGAATTTTTAGAAGTGATAGATTCCATATCCTGATTGTGATAAACATTGATGAATTTGTACATGTTAAAAAAAAATCATAGAACTGTACACTGAAAGGGTAAAAACGATTTTGTATAATTTAAAAATTTTGCATAATTTTAAAATCATTATTGTACATTTAAAGTTTAATTTTAAAGAAACTCATTTTCAAATAGTTCTAAATAATTTACCAAGAAATTCAAAGAAGGTACAGAGAACCTGAACTCACCATCCAGCTTTCCTTACCTTGTGCTAAGCTGATGGGGTACCTTTGTGGCGACCTGAACTGATGGACTGGCATTAACGTCCACACCTCACTCAGAAGTCCGTGTCCATCCTGTTCCTGTTTCAAGACCTCCACCTTGAGTTTACTGTCACCTCTCCAAGGCTCCTCCAGACTTACTGTGTCGTGACTTGCCTTGTGTCGGTGCCCTGGCAAACTTGCTGCTGACCATCTCGTAGAGTGCCCTCTGGAAGCTGGCCATTTGTCTTATGGTTATTCCAGGACTTGGGGGGCCTGGAAGCAAGACCATAGAGACCACTACCACCTCCTCTTGCGAAAGTCCATGCTGTGGACTGGGTTATTACTGGCTACTTCCATCCTTGCCAAGCTCACCATCCCTAGCTTCTCCACTGTCCCCTAGGAAGGAAGTGACGATGTGCGGCCCACGCTCAGGAGTGTGCAGTGGAGCCCACCTCCTCCAGAGAGGAACAGCTGCGTCCACTGGTTGGAAACTCGGTGCGGGGGCTTATTTTTTGTCCCCACTTTCTGGTATGAACTAGTGGGCATCGGAGCGTGGGTTATGACCCAACACTGACTGTGGTTTTGTCTTTGGCTGGTAGGAACACTTTTGGTCAGCTCCTGGGTCCCCTGCCCATGTCCATTGCTGTGGGAGCATGCTCCTACTCAGCACTCAAAGGAGCTCCCGGCTCAGCTTCTAGGAAGCCCTAGGACCAGCCGTCTCCAAGGAGCCCTGGTTGCTCTCACTGGAGAATGGCTTTAGAAAGCAAGATGTGGGCACCAACTGTGCTCACGTCATTGGGATGTCGTCTCTTCTAGGCCCTCCGCCGACAGAGCAAGGAAATGTGTATACCAACCCGCAGGCTCCCCACCCCCACAACCAGGCCCACACTGTGCCCCTGTAGCTCCATGAAGCTAAACATGGGTTCAGATTTGACTCAGTTCTAACTCAGCACGCAGACCTTTCCAACCTTGCCCTCCCTGTCCGTGACCTCCCACCAGTTAGGAACCTGGACCCTGCGTCTGTTTTCCCTGGTGGGATCATTCTAGCACCATGCACAGTGATTTCAGGACCGTCAGCCTATACCACAGAAATTGATTCTGCCGACGACCGAAGAGCTCTCGTGCAGTTCCTTCTGCTCTTATCTTGTAGTCTCCGTCCACTCACAAGATCACTTGGGCTGGCACTCAGGTCAGCGAGATTGTTTCACACCTTCACACATCCCATAAACGAACTCCTTGGTCCCAGTTTACACCTTGGGATCCTCTGACTTTCTAAGTGATTTTTATTTTATTTGCATACTTTAAAGTTTACAACATTGTATTTTTCATAACTGCATGTTATGTTTTATGAATACTGCAGTAAGGAAAGACATTTTCACCATGTCAGTCTTAAGGCATAAAAGTTCTTCAGGTATGAAGTTCTTCAACATATGAGCAGAGCTTGGGATGGGGAGCAGACAGCCAGCAGCTCTTTCCAACAGAGCGGTGGCTGCCAGTCAACAGGCTCTGACAGACCCACTGCCTTCCCCATCTGTATGTCATATGAATGGAATCCCGCAGTGCCTGTCCTGCTGTGATTGGCTTATTTCACTTAGCATCCATGCTGGTAGCATGTGATAGGACTATTTCCTTTTTAAAGGCTATACAATATTCCTTCGCATGTATATGCCACGTTTTTTCCTACCCATTCACTTCTCAAATAGCAACTGGGTCCACCTCTTGGGTGGTGAATGATGCTGCAATGAACATAGGGATGCAAAAAACTGTTGAAGATCCTGATTTAGAGTCCTTTGGATAATGCATAAGTGAGATTGCTAGATCATAATGTAGTTCTATTTTTAATTTTCCAAGAAATATCAGTAGTGTCTCTGGTAGCAACTACAATGTTCAACATTCTCACCAATAGGGCAGACAGCTGCCAATTTCTCCCCACTCTCATCAACACCCATTATTTTCTGTTTTTATTTATACATACAGTTGCTGCAGTATGAAGTTTGACCGAAGTCATTGAAAGTTCAATGAAAAAATAGCAAGCAAAATAAGTGTTCCCTGGTATGTAGGATACTCAAAATAGGTTTTTTTTTGTACTTTCACATACATTTTGATGTTTAAATTTGAAATCTTTTTAAAAGACATTAATTTTTTTACTTTAAAAAACAGAACAAATGGGTTTCTCTGAATTATAGACTCCAGCTTTATGAATGATCAAGGTACATATATAAACAAAATTTCAGATGCTCTTGCAGACACATTTTAAGATACAGTACTCATGATATATCAATCTATATCTATATCTATATCTATATCTATCTATATCTATCTATCTATATCTATATCTATCTATCTATCTATCTATCTATATATATATATATTTAAATTTATTCATCTGGGAATAATGAATGCTCAATTCATCTTACACTGCAAACTTAGCTCTGGATAACCAGGACTTGGATAGATCACAGAGTAGAATTTTGAGTCTCTCAACGGGTTTTGTATTCAAATAGCTCAAGATATGGTGTGGATATATTTTCCTCCTGTGCTCAGGACTGTCAGGCTCTGGAGCTGGCCGTTGGTGCTGCCGGTGATTCACTCCTGCGAAACTACCTCTACAGGGTAGGACAGCCGCTGCCCCATGGGGCACCCTTGGAAGACTCAGGCCTCCTGACACCCTTCTGCTTTCTGGATTTTTCCTTTCCACCGCCGTGCAGTCACTGCGGTCCTGTGTTCTGAAAAACAAAATCCAGCCTTTTGTTTTGATCACTGGCCCATAACTATCTGGAATGAACCCAGATAGGACGGCGCAAAGCCGGGCTCCGCTGGAGCGAGTGGCCCTCGGGGGCGCAGACTGGGCAGCGGGGCTGCTCGCCACCCTCCAGGAGCCCAGCGCGGCCTCCCCAGCTTCCTGAGAACCTCCTCGCGACACCCTGGAGGGCGCCCACGCTCCGCCGGCCCCGCCAGCTGCTGCCCAGGGTAGTGGGGTCGCAGCGTCAAGCCCCTCGCGGGCTCTCCAAGCCCGAGCTCCCCACAGCTCCCCTCCGGCGCCGGCTTGGAGCTCGAAGAGCCCTGGAAGGACTGCGGGAGGGAACTGGAGGCCTGGCGGGGGACCGCTGGGCTGCCCGGGGACCTGATTGATTGCTCTTCAAAGGCCGGTTCCACTACCCTACATCTTCTCCGGTGCGCGGGGTTGTCATGCTTTTTGACATTTGCCCCGTGGGTCGGTGCGACGCGGGGTCTCCTTGGATCCTGCAGACCAGGCCTGGCGCCGTCTTGCACGCTTAGCTCAGGCGTCCCTCTCGGAAGCGAGGAGGGTCCAGGCCGCCTGGCTCACCAGAGAAGCATCGGCATCCGCTGGCTCCCTCGTTTATGATGTCACACAGGCCCTCATCCCGTGCAGGGTCCCCACGCAGCGGCTCAGGGACCGTGCCAGGTCCCCGCGGCCCAGCTCAGCTGCGGAAGGCCACCACTCCAAGCCTTACAGCCGCCTGTGGTCCCCCCGCTCCTCACGCTGCTGGGACACTGCGCAGGAACCGCGCCTCTTGCAGGCCGCCTCCAGCGAGGCTAGTGATGTGGGTCTCCCCTGCTGACCTCTGGCGACCGCTGACCCCGCCCTGCGCCTGCGGATTTGCCATTCTGGACAGTTCGTGGTGGCTGGAGCATAGTGGCTGCCTTCGCCTGGCAGGTTCATGCCATGGCGCGGTGGGCGCTCCCTTCTATTTATCCACCACGGATAATATTCCGCTGTGTCCAGCCACATGTTGTTGATCCATTCGGAAGTTGAGGAACTTTGGGGTTGCTTCCATTTGGGGGTCGTTATGAACCAAGATGCCTGAACGTCTTCATAGTTTGGGCTTCCCTGTCGAGTGCTAGGAGAGGAATGGCAGCTGGTGACACAACTCTGACTCGCAGTGCCAGGCACTGCCAGATGTTTCTAAGGTGGGGGTGCCATTTTGTCTTCCCGCCAGAAGAGAATAAGGATTTCTATTTCTGTCACCTTTGTGAGGGATGGTTATTTTCAGGTGTGTGTCCTAACCTGTGGGTAGGCTGGTGTATCAGTGTGGTTTTAGTTTGCATTTCCCTGGTGACACATTCATTGAGCAGCTTTGCATATGCTAATTTTCATCTGCATAGCTTCTGTAATGAAGTGCTCAGCTGCTCACCTTCCATTAGGCTGTGTGTTTTGGCTGAAGAGTTTTGTGTGGTTTATTGGCCATTCACATGCGTGGGCAGCCTGACTCCAGGAGTCTGTTTCTCTTCCTAAAAGGTGGAGATTAAGTAGCATCTCTGAGAGTGCCTGTAGGGGCCAAATGAGTATAATGTGTAAAAATTATGGAAGTTAATAAGGGCTCAGTGAATGTGAGGCCTCACCCAGGTTTCCCACCCAGAACTGCTCCCTCACATTGCCCACCAAAGGGCAGCCATAGAGATCAGCCAGGCCTGGGTGCCAATTTTACCTCTGCTGCCTGCAGCTGGGCCACACTGGGAAGGTGACCTCACTTCTCTGAGCCTCAGTTTCTCTTCTGGGAAGTAAGGCAGGATGGGCTAATGTACTTAAAAATAGAGTCTTTGGGACACAATAGATAGTATGTATTTTTTTTTATTTATTTACATTTTTAAAAAGATGCACCTTGGTATACTGGGAACACACTGAACTCTCTGGGCTCTTGGGCTAACTCCCTGTGTGACTTGGGCAAGTCTTGACCTTTCTGGACTTTGTAGTCTTCATTTAGATTAAAGCATAAGAATCACGAGGGAGGCTTTTAAAACTCCAATTTTAAAAATCAGGAACTATACATGTGAAGGGTCAACACCAAAATCTGCACAGCAGAGGTCTGTGGAAGGGGAGCAGGGAGTGGGGCTGCCCAAGGACACAGGGATCCGCTGCATCTGTGATGCTTTTGTTCCTTAAAGAAAACTCAAGTCCATGGCAGACCAGTCAGCTTTGGTAGGTCCACGCTGTAGAGTAACGAAGTCAGTGTCCTCTGACTCTGAAGGAGATAGCCTGGTGAAAGGAGGGAGAGGTGGAGGTGTTGTTAAGGAGAGGACGGTCCAGGCCAAGAAAGTGGGCAGACAAGGGGACAACGGATGTGTGACTCCCAAGGGGTTTCCATATATGGCCCCCAAGAAAGGGAGTGGATGAGATGAGACAGGAGGGGGTCAGGTCGAGGAGGGCCTCGCTTGCCAGCAGGGAGTGTGGACTTCATTCTGTCCAGGATGGAGGTGGGTGTAGTCACAGGAGTTACATGCCATGTGATTGGGTGCAGTGGGTGCTGGGCATGGAACCCCGGGCCTTACGCCTGCTAGGCAAGTGCTCCACCACTGAGCTGTTCCTCACCTGTTTCGTTCTGAGTCAGGGTCTCATTGAGTTGCCCAGGCCAGCCTCGAACTTGCAATCCTCATGCCTCAGTCTCCCCAGTAGCTGGGGCGTGCACCTGTACTCAGGCGTGCTGTGTGCTTTTGCTTCTGAAATCGCCCCTTTGTCTGTTCGTTATTCACTCTTCTTAAAAAAAAGACCTTTCTTTCTTTCTTTATTTGTTTATTTATTTATTTTTATGTGGTGTTCAGGATGTGCCAGGCAAGTGCTCACCGCTGAGCCCACGCCCCTCCTGATCCATTCTTTTGCCTTTGGAATGTCGTGCCAGCCACCGACCCAGCAGGGAAGGTGCGCAGTTGGAAAGGTGGGCACAGTCCTTCCTTGGACTGCATCAGTCTCGTGGGAAAGCAGACGTTGAGCCATAGACCATAAAGTGGACTCATTGCAGATTTGTTGCCTATGATGTCCAGGACGGGTTGTGGGGGCCTGGGCCTGGGTGGCCATGGGACATGCCGGTGGGTGGCACAAGGGAGCAAAGCAGGGCATTTGTGTTCAGCCTGGTACCTGAAGCCTGCTGGGCCTATTTCTTGCACTCATGGTCAGCATGTAGGGGTCCTTGTGTTTCCTGCAGAATACAATTAAAAGTTGATATCCATACTACAAAAATGGTGGAAAAATTTGTGATAAATTAAGCATCATTTGATTCCAATTTCTAACATAAGAAAGCTATATTAGGCATTTTGATGTGAAGTAACAATTCACAATTCATTTACAAAAAATCAATACTATCTCTCTACACTAGCAATAATTAACCAGGAAAATAGTAAAATTAATATATTTACAGTAGCAACAACAACAACAAAAAATTAAAGGACATGGCAAATGATTTGACCTGCTTAACGACTCTCTAATGACGGGCAGAGAGAACTCACCTGAACAATGGAGAAATGTTCCAGGCTCAGATGAGTGACTTACAAGATGAAGATGTCAGTTTTCCCCAAATGATGTACATATTTAATGCAATTCCAACCCAAATACAAGTTACAAAGACACTGGTCCACAGCAGGTATGTTACCTTGAGAAAGAATTCCAACATAGTACTTCCCACTATGACTACGTTCTGCCTTAGTGACACCAGCACATGGCTGCCCAGAAGGGAACAGCCAGAGGCTCCCAGAGGCACATCAGCTACGGGCAGGAACTTGGTGATAGAGAGGGCACCATGGCCTTGGTGAACAGGGCGGTGGCCCTCGCCTGTAATCCCAGAGACTCAGGAGGCTGAGGCAGGAGGATTGCTAGGTCAAAGCCAGCCTCAGCACTCAGGGAGACACTGTTGGCTTTACTGTATGGACATACACAGAATCAGAGTGGACACATAAAACAGGGACTCCAAATGGACTAGAAACTGAAATATGGAAGGCGAAACTGAAATAAAATCAGGGACTGATTTTTTTTAAAGAATAAAACATCCAAAACACGTACCATTAGCCAGAAAAAACAAAACAAAACAAAAGTTTATACAGAAATTAAAAGCTTTCTATGCAACAAAGGAAACTTGGGACAAATTACAGCAAGTGACAGGTTGGACAAATGTGTCTTCGAATGTCTGATGAATGAGAAACTCTTTATCTTAAGTGTATAGGGAGCTCTGCCAATCAGTGAGAAAAATACAGGCACCCAGCAGGAGACCTGCAAAGGCTATAAACAAGTGGTGTGTGGAGAGGTGGAGAGGGACGTGGAAGAGGCTAGAGAGCATGTGGCTACGTGCTCAAAGTTAAGGTCACCAGCGCAGGGCACACTGGGAGAATAACTGCCAACAATGCCTCTTAGTAGTAGACTGGCAAAAATTAAATATTTGGTAACTCCGGGTGTGGCCAGAGGTGACTTAGGAATTGTCATTTGGCATCAGTGGGAGTCACACCAACCCGATCATTCTGAAGACTTGGCCATTCTGCACCTGGACGTGACCCCAGAAAAATCCCCCACCTGGGCTGCTCGTGGTGGCTGAGAGCTGGAAACAGTCAGGCATCCCTTACTAGAGAGCCGGGTGAGTGAGCCGTGCCAGGTACATCTGGAACAGCAAGAAGAGTCGTCCAAATAGACCTAGAGCAAGATACTAGATCTTACAAACAACATGGAGGAAAGCAAGAAAATAGTTTGAAAACACGTGTCTAAAAATATGGACAAGAACATATACAAATAACGCATATGGAAGAGGACAGTTACCTAGGTGCACGAGGAGAGGGAGTGGGGCTGGACAGTGGGAAAAGGAGCATGAATAGGGAATGGGGAGTGGATGGGAGGGTGGACACCTGAGGGTCTGGGTTGAAGGAGAGTGGGCAGGGGGCTGGATGGGTGGGAGGACACATGACTGGGTGGATAGGTGGTAGGATGGAGGGTGGGCAGCTGGGTAGATTTCTCAAACAAGAGGTGGACTTGTTGAAGAACTTCTTGAACAAGAAGAACAGGAGAAAGTCCTGGTCAAGGACTTTTGGTGACAGTGTCCCTCAACTAAGTGCATGATTTCCTGAACCCTCTGCACCAGAGGTACCACCTCAGAAACAAAATAATCCCTAAATACCTGAAGGAGAACCATAGCAACATTGATGAGTTTCCACCAAGAGGATGTTTCTCGTGCAAATTCTGTCAAATCATTTGCCTTTATTTTTCTTTTGAGATGGGTTCTCACTATATTGCCCAGGCTGCCCTTGAATTCCTGGGCTCAAGTAATCCTCCTGCCTCAGCCTCCCAGAGTAGCCAGATTGCAGGTGCCACACTGTGCCCAGCTCACATCGGCCTCCTCAGTGAGCTCATCATAGGCAATGAAGGTGTTCATTAGGTCTCCTGTGAACCAGACACTGTTCAGGCTCCCAAAGGGTATCCATGGACAGAACCAAGATCCGTACTCTGACGGAGAGGAAAGACATAACAATATGTCAACTGTGTAGCATAACAGGTCCTCACACCACTTAGGAGACGTGGGATGGGTCGGGAAGGTAGGGCAGGGCTTTTGGGGTTTGCATTAGGTAGACAAGGAACTGTGGGTCTTCTTGAGGAGGTGACTCAAAG